GAGCAGGTTGACTTAGAGAGACTTTGTACAAAAATTAGATTCAACAATTAATTAAAAATGAGTTAATTAGTATAAAATTTGATATCAAAGTGTTAGGTATTTTGATACCAAATACAAATTCGGTCTATGATGAATTGTCAGATCTAATTAAATTCATACGTGTTCTTTTGAAACCCATTATTGAGATTATTTTAAGGGAAAAATTCATGTATTAGGTTTTAAGTTTCACCAATGCAAAAATCAAGTTTCAAGTTTTAAAGTTGCAAGAATTAGGTTTTTAAAATTTTTTAAAATAAGGTTACAATTATATGCATTTTGGTCACAGATATCTTATTAATTATTTAAAAATTAATTTTCGAGCACAATTTATCAAATTAATTGATCATAAATTATTTTGAGATCACAATTTATAGGTCATAATTGACTTCATTGGTCACTGATTAAAAAATTTATAGGTCACAAATTTTTAATTGGTCACAAGTTAAAAAATATATAGATAACGGAGATCACATTTTCGAATTTGTTGGTCACATATTATCGAATTTTGAGGTCACGGTTTAATAGTTAGCTACAGAGAATCGTATAGTTGGTCACATACACCCAAACACTCGTTCCCCAATCCCTATCCACCACTAATACTTAGTTACAAATCGATCAAATAGTTGGTCACAGACACTCTTCATCATATCCTTGCCGCCGCCGCCGCCGCCACCACAACCATCCACCAACAATAACACAAACAACAACCACCACCTAAACCACCACAGATTAGGCCAAACCACCACCAACAACCAACCATCAACAAGAACCACTCACACAGATCCGCAGCCTCTTCGATTCCCTCAACTCCGATCCGCTACACACTCACAACAACTAGACACACATATCGGCCACCAACAACAGCCACTCACACAAACCCGCCCAACACCCATAGATCTACCGCCTCTTCGATTCCCTCCACTTCGATCCGCCACACACCCACTGCAGCTACCACAAAGTCGCGACTCCCACCCACACACCCACAACAGCGTTGCAGCGCTGTTATGAATGGCAACAGCGTTGAGGCGTTGCTGCCAGCGTCGCAACGCTGCTGTGAAGAGAGGGGGAGGGAGAAGAGAGGAGAAGCCGTGGTGGAGAGACTGATGGTGGCGGTGGAGGCGGCAGGCAGTGGAGAGATGGATAGATTGTGAGAGAGTTGAGATAAATGAATTAGTTTAGGGTTTGGATAGATTTAGGGTTTGATATGTAAAATAAAATACTCGATTTTTGAATAAATAAACTTTAGACCCGATTTTTAAAAATCAATATTTAAACACCTAGTTTTATGTAATTACAACTTATTTTAATAGTCGATCCAAAACACATAAATGGTGGCCCACGAAGTGAAGCGGACCGAGTTTTGCATTAAGGGCCCGATCCATATACTTAACCTTTAAGTGTAATTGTATATGTTGGTCCTCTGCATGATGAGAAAAAGTGTGACTAAAGCTAATGAAGTTTGGTTTTAGCTACATTCGGGTTAATTTGATTTAAATTGTTATCTTTTGCACTTTTAACCGGGTATCAGGTTGAGCACCCTCCTATGCATGTCCTTTTTTATTTTGTTTTTATTATTAATAAAACGTGCCACACATAATGACTTTTAAGAAAAAAATAAAAAGAGCCGATGAAAAATTATTTTGATGTGGACATTTTAATGTCTTTCGACCTTGACGAGAAATGTTATCAAATTTATTTCAAAATAAAAGTAATTCTTTGTGAGCTGTGGAAGGCCTCTTCTACCGCTTTAAATTTGTAGAACTAAAGCAACAAAATTCCCAAGCAATCCCATTCTTTAACAATTATTCTCTATGTACGGAAATTATTTTCACATGGGCTCACCAGAATACTCGAATGAGTGGGCCCCACCATGTGTAAAAAAAGATTTATGCGCGGGACCCACTCGTGTGAGTATTCTGTGAAAAGTGCTTCTATAGATGAAGCATGATTCAATCCTTAAACCGCTCGCAAATATACTATAGTTTTATAACGTGTCTTTGGGGATGTTTCTTCGGTAAACTTTGCATTTCAGAAACTTGGGAGTTGGGGTCAATAAAGTCTTGTAGTATATATGAATGAATATTTTTCTTGCTTAGAAAAATGGAAAGATTATGAATAATTATATTCAAAGACAATTTTTGTTTATCACATTTTAATAAATATTCTTATTTTTTTGGCTCATTTTCGCTCTTATATTCTTAACACTTTTTCATAAAATTTTTATCATCAATCTTCTATTAATTTGTACTTTATTTTTGATGACCAAAAAAAAAAAATTGTTTAGAGGGCATAAAAAGATTTATTTGAGAAATAAACAACAAACATAAAAGTTTTGACAAAGTATTTGCCCTTCATTCAATGAAAATATTTGGACGAAAATTATCATCAAATACAAGATATGTTAACTAAGTGATGGTTTTTTTTTTTAATTAAAGGAAGACGGTACTTTAGAGATTTTATTAATATGTCCTCACTTGTGAAGGAGGAATATCATGATTACATGAGGAAACACTGAAGATCTTCATTATAATTACAATATAATACAAATAATAAAAATTATGGTGTCAATATAATTGCTCAAACATGAAACTAATTTCAAAAGTAATAATGTATAATACGTTCACTCTTTTAGCCCATAGACTGAACGCTATAAGGGCATTCTCAAGGTAGTAGTGAATTGCTTTAAAATGTGCCACATGAATAAATAAATAAAAAAAGACATATTTTAAAATTTTATTTAATGCAAATGGACCAAATTAATATTTTCTATCCAAATTTAAACCAGTTTGATTTTATTTTTTTTTTAAAATAAAGGACACATAGATATCAATCCATAAAATGTATGGGAAACTAAATTTAGATTAAAGTGTCAAGTTATTAAGCCTCCGTTCGGCTAGTTTATAAACGATTTATAAATAATTATAAATGGTCAAACTTTTTTTCAATAATACATTCTAATTGACTCACAAATATTATCCACTTATCTATCATTCTTTTTAGTTATTTATGAATTAAATCGTTTATGAATTTTTCTCAGGCTAAATATCGATGCCAAGATAATCTTTCAATTTTCATGTCATACAAAATATTAGGGTATGTTTGATTGCATTTTTGGGTGTATTTGATTGCATTTATTTTTCATGAAAAATGTCAATTTTTCACTTAAATTCCTATTTTGAAATGTTTTATTGCTATTTTTTTCCATGTAAAATATTTTTCGACTTTTAAAAATATGTTTAATTTTCCTTATTTTTAAGGAAAATATTTTCTTTAGAGGGAGTGGATTTTTTTTTTCCCTCAAAACAAAGAATTTTTTTTCCAATGATATATTATTTATGTCAATCAAATACACCGTTGGTAGGGAATTCACAGCAATATATAGACTCCAACAGAGGCTAACCGAAATCACAAGCTCAATCACAACATTAACAGAGTTCTAAACTACTCAAAATCACAGATTCTTCTCATCTTCAGAATATATTGCATAATAATCCAACATTTGGATAACATAAGAACTAATCAACATATACCATAACATTTACAAATATATCATAAATCAGCAGAATACATATGTAAATCATAGGTATAGAGGACATCTTAAATGAGACAGAAAAAGAACCAAATCAGAAACGATACTTCCCTTTCTTCCTCACTTGTGCACTGGCCGAGATTCAGACTAAAATGTTTAGGCTCAGGAACAGTCTTCCATGCAATGCAAATCACCTTCCAAAGAGAGCACAAGAACCGATAAAGAATGCTTCCGACTTGGCTAGGATCATCGACCAAATGGTCTACCAATTTCAGCCAAGAATAACGCCCAAAACACTAACTTAAGCCCTCGAGAAGACCCAACCCTTAGCCACTATTTCAGGCCTAAGAGCACGCATGAATCTCTTCAATTTAATGGGCTAAAGATCGATTTCATGGGGCTATGGAAGAAAGAGGTTGAACGGAACTCACATAGAGAGTGAAGAAGGGGTAGTCTCGAAGAGCAAGTCGAAGAAGAGTCTCAAGTAAGCTAAACCCATGTGAATATAGAGACTAAAAGTCAAGCTTGGAACCAAGTGAAGTGTCTCCAAGAAGCAAGAGAAAATATTTCCCGAGAATTAATTTCAACCATCCAATTTATTCAAAGGCCAAAATTGAAAGTAGCACAAATCGGGTCAGCCCAATGGGTTACAAAAGCCCACAACTGTTAATGTATGTCCATTGCCAACTAAATGGTACTTAATTAGAATATGAATTAAGCAGATAATTAACAAACAAACACTAGGGGTACTGCGTCTCTCTCTTTTTTGTTTTTAATAATAGGGAGCCGTTCACCAATTTATTTTTCAGACATATGAAAAATGAAGAAGTTAATTTGTCTCCCTCAACTTATAATTCTAAAATAAGCAACTTGAAAAAAGATTATTGAATGAACAAGGAAAAGCGACTTTCGGCTTGTAATTAGTTACTGAGTCGCTGAAACAGTACTCTTTTCTCCAACCACCCCGTCAAATATGAATTTTTATATTTATTAGTTGAAAATTAAATAAAAAAAGAAATTAATAGCCAATCAAACGTGACCTTAATGAGTCAAATCAGTTTGAAATGAGTCTACATTTTGTTTTAAATATTGGTGGGAATGTATGTCGTCTTCAAGTTAGCCGGGTATTAGGGCATAAGCACCTTTAAAAATCACGCCATTTTCTTGAATTTCTCAGAAAAAGCTGTGAAAAATAATCACTTTTTTTTT